TTGGTGATATGAGGTCCCCCTGTCTCTCTGCTCACTTCTCTCTTTTATATCTCAAGAGATTGCCTCAGGATACAATCCAATCTAGTAGATTGAGTCCTGCCTCACTAACACAACTGCTGCCCATCTTCCTTCATTAACATCATAGAGGCAGGATTTACAACATAAAGGAAAACCACACAATACTGGGAATCATGGCCCAGCCAAATTGATAAACGCATTTTTTTTGGGGTGGGGGGGGCATAATTCAATCCACGACAGAGCGCAACTTGATATGCACTAGTTTCGGAATCAGAGAGGTCTGGCAGTGACACTGTAGCCTTGGGCAACTTTCTTAACCTCTCTCTCAAAATTTCTTCATCTTTAAAAAGGGGATATTAATACCTACCTCACTGGTTGTTCTGAAGGTTAAATGATGTCATACTTCCTAGTTGACTCAGTACCTGCGAGCCTGGGTCAGTGAATACTGACTAAAAGATTAAGTTCAGAACTTCCAGTCCATGCCTAAGAGGGACCCTGAGCTTCTGCTAGATTTTTATGAAAAAAGCATACCAAGGACCTGAAGGCCTTTAAGAATTCTTTGTTTGCTTGTTTCATTTTTTTTTTTTAAGAATACATTTTAAAAAGTTTTGTGTGGCCTTTGTAAGAAATTTCAGGCAACAAAGAAAAGCACAAAGGAGAAAGTATAAAATAATCTGAAACTCCATCTCCCAGAGACAATCACCATTAACATATAAGACCATGGTATTCTGCAAGGTAGTTAATTATTGGCTTCCTATCCCTTCCTACAATTGCCTCAATGGCAATGGGTTTGGTTTTTTGGGTATCCCTTCCTACAAGGTTTGCACTTGACTACTAACCTAAGGAGCCCTGGTGACACAGTGGTTAAATGTTTGGCTGTTAACCAAAAGGTTGGCAGTTTGAATCTACCAGCTGCTTCTTGGAACCTCTATGGGGCAGTTCTACTCTGTCCTATAGGGTCACTATGAGTTCAAATCAACTCTACAGCAATGGGTTTGATTTTTTAAATGACGGCAGTTCGAACCCACCTATTGGTGCCATGGAAGAAAGGCCTGGCGATCTGCTTCTCTGTAAAGATTACAGCCAAGAAAACCCTATGGAACAGTTCTACTCTGTAACACATGGGGTTGTCATGAGTCAGAATCGATTCAACAGTGGCAGGTTTTTTTTTTGATCTCTTCCTACACAAAATCTATGGAGGTCTTTGGTTCCTTACAGAAGAATGTTGGGACCTTAAGTAAAAAAACATTTTTCTAAATAGTGATTATAGAGATGTATCCTCATGGCATCTTTTATAACAACTCTTGGCCATAGCTATGATGTATTGATGCTACTGCTTGGGTAGGAACTCTACCGTGTGCTCCTGAAATGTGAAATGAATAGAGGACTTGCCTCTATATCCCAATACAGAGATCCGTGGCTTTCACTCTGAGTGCTTACCCACGGGCTTTGGGAACACACATCTTCCTCCTTCCCAAACCTGCTTCCAGACAGTCTTCCCAAACTGAGTGCCCACCTCCAGTTGCAATCCTCCCCTCCTCTGCCCCAGCAGCTACACCAAGGCCAGCTCTGCACAGTTGTTTGGCTTCTCTGGGTTCCCCCTTCAGTGCTCCGTGTCTGCAGTGGCAGCTGGGTCCTGGAAGCTTCCTGAGGGCAGAAGCCCAGTCTCTAGGGCCCAGTGTGATCTAAACAGAGAGGTGCTCCCTCCCTACAAGTGCTGTGGGCTGTATAATCTCGAAACACAAACCAACCACTGTAACTAAGTCAACATAGCATTTCCTGGAACAGAAGCTGAGAAGAAGACAATGTCTGTAACCTTTTAGAGAGCTCCACCCTTTTCTCTAAACTAGGGGAAAATCTAGATCAAGGGGAAGAAATCTGCCTCTTCCCCCTCACATCAGTACAGATTACACCTACTCTACTATGTGGACATCTAGAGCTTACTCCCATCCAGGGTTAGACCTAGAACACCCCTGAATATTGGTCCTACCCTTCTCCTTTAGGTGCAGGGGTCCCAGAACCACGTACGGGAAAGAGATTTCAACTTCCTGGAATCCCACAACCATGGCTTGTTTCACTCCAGTCCCACTTGATTACTCTCATTTCTAACATGCCTGGCACTCTACATTACTTGGATTGTGCAAATACTGCTCCCTCGGTCTGGAATGCTATTACTCCTGTCCCCATAGCAAACTTACACTTTGAAAGTGAGCCGAAGCAGTCACATCCTCTCCCAGGGAGTCTTTGGCATGCTCCAAAATTCCTCCTAAGTTTTATGTGCACATTCCCTCCGTTACAGAAAAGATCACATCATGTTATAGTTGTGCTGTAATCACTGTGTCTGTCCTCCACATTAGATTCCAGACGTTTTGAGGCTGATAATGATATCGTTTTTGTGTCTCCAGCACTTAGCACAACGCCTGACAGCTGGTATGTTGTGGGGTGGGAGTAAAAAAAAAAAAACAAAAAAAAACCAAACCTGTTGCCATCGAGTCGATTCTGACTTATAGCGACTCTATAGGACACAGTGGAACTGCCCCGCAGAGTTTCCAAGGAGTGCCTGGCAGATTCGAACTGCCAACCCCTTGGTTAACAGCCATAGCTCTTAACTACTATCCCACCTGGGTTTCTGGGGTGGGAGTGGGTAAGGGAAACAGGCCTCTGAGGTCTGGAGCTTGAGAGCCTCTGGGCAGTTAGAGGTCAACATGAGGTGATAAGAAAGTAAAGACCAATACAGTTTGGCTATTTCATTTTGTGTCTCTTGTCACTGAACAAAGGTGAGGTCCTTAGGTGGTGGTCACAGACAGCTGGAGAAGGGTGGGTTTTAAATCATTCCCTGAGGGTACAATCACTTCATTTAAAAGCTTCATACTTTCCACTGGCCCACACAGGAAGTATCACAGGAAATCAAGTTTCAGCCCAGCCCCTGCTCCAATTTAACCACAATTTCAAAATTGCATATTCCACTCAAGACTGAGAAAGCAATAAAACAAAATGAGATTAATGGGGCACAACAGCCCAGGGACAAGGACTAGAAGGCAGGAGGGACAGGAAAGCTGGTAATAGGTCGAGAAGGGACAGTGTTGACATGTCGTGGAGTTGTTAACCATTGTCATAAAACAATATGTGTACTAAATGTTTAATGAGAAACTATCCTGTAAACCTTCATCTGAAGTACAATAAAAAAATTAAAAAAAAAAAAGATTGAGGAAACAAAATATCTTCGTTCAGGCAGCAACTAAGATTCTGCTTTACCTGAGCTCTCTTCCAGAGCACCTACATCTGTATCTGGTCTCTTATCTTCCATGGGAGTTCCTTAAGGGCAGGACAACGTGCTGAACTCCTCCTTCTACAAACTTGCCATTCCTCCTAGACCACCAGTACATTCCAAAGCACAGTATCTGGCCCTCCATAGGCGCTTAACACCTGATTATTAAATTAATTCATTGAAAAGTCTGGTCTTTATTTTTAAATTCAAGGCTGAATCGCCCCTGAGATGCTGAACCTTCCCTTTACGAATCCAGAGACCGCTGCCCATTCCCATCTCCCTTAGTTGGGTGTGGGGGTAGATGTGGTCCTGGGGAGGTTTTCCTCTCTCCCTTCCAGGGCATAATCAAGTGAGAGTCTTGCAGGTCCTGGAAGAAGAAAGCTCTGATACAGCATTTCCAGTGGTGAGACTTGACCTCAGCAACTACCACGATAGTCACAGAAAAAGACAGGACCAAAGCTTAAAGCTTAGCTACCACTTGGCTGGGTCCATGCAAGCTTAATCATTAGTTATAGCTCATGAATTGGAAATTATTGCAATATCAAGTTTTGTTGGTTGACTTTCATAAGTGTACTTCATATTATGTTTATTAATATTCATGTTTTATAAACCAAGAATGTTTATTTGGGGGAAGTCCTGAGGATAACAATGTTCTTCCTGCTGTTTAAAACCTGCCTGCCAAACCAAGTATCCCTTATAAGTGTCTAGCTTTCACCTCTCAAAATACGTTTACTGAGTGTGTTCTGTGTTTCTGAGTCTGAGCTGGGCGCTGTGATTTTAACTGTTCTTCCATTTAGTGTCTCTGAGGAACTGCAGTGGGAGTCACTAAGTTTGCTTTTGAATTTTTTTCAAATGAACAAGACTCACATTTCAAATGCCCAGGTGCCTTTCTAAATGGCTCTGGCTGTTGCTTCTCCCCTTACTTTTTAAAATCACAAGACCAATTTTCTAAAGACCAGAGCACACAGGAAATCTCCCCAGTTTCATTTCAAATAGCCCCAAACCAAACCAAACCCGTTGCCCTCGAGTCAATTCCAACCCACAGTAACACTGTAAGACAGAGTAGAACTGCCCCATAGGGTTTCCAAGGCTGTAAATCTTTTCAGAAGCAGACTACCACATCTTTCTCCTCTGGAGGGCTGGTACGTTTAACCACAGACCCTTCGATTAGCAGCCGAGAGCTTTAACCACTGCATCACTAGGTCTCCTCCAGAAAGCCCCAGGCATCAGCAATTACCACAAAGAGAAATTCAAGTTGTGTAGCAAGCAATTTAAGCACATGAATTCCCTGATATCAGAAAATGGGAATCCAGTTAATAAAAAGTCTTTGTCCGGATTGCCTTTTAGTGGTTACTGGTGTCGCAGTTGTTAAGAGTTTGGCTGCTAAACAAATGGTCGGCGGTTCCAACCCACCAGCCGCTGCGCAGGAGAAAAGACCCAGCAATCTGCTCCCATAGAGATTTCAGCCTACGAAACCCTATGGGGCCGTTCTACTCTGTTCTACTGGATCCCTATGAGTCTGAATCGACTCAACAGCACACAACAAGAAGGATCTTGCTGATCTTTTTACTTCCTGTATATCTGTGAAACGAAATTGAAGGAAATTTTAGGGTTCCTATAAAGGTGTATGGAGATGCCCAAGAAGACAACCTACCCCACACAAAACGGCTCGGGGCTTCACTCTCAAACCAGATTAAAATGCCATCACTCTTACCTTTTGCAGGCACCTTTCTTAAGTCCTTTAGGCAGAATTTGGTGATTGCCCTTGAGGTTGCTGCGACAAGACTGCTAACACGGATGTCCGGGGCTATTTGTGAAAAAGGAGAAGTGAAAGGAGCATAAATAAGATCGCGCTGTGACAAGCGGAAGCCCAGATGAGGAAGTGAGGCTGACTCCGCCCTCTTGAACCTCAGAGAGTCAATCCTCCCACAGTGACTACTTAGAACTTTCCTTCCACAACTCACCCAAATATCTAAACTGTTTTTGTTATCTATGAAACAAAGGAGAGCCCAAAGACCAAGGTGGTTCAGACACTAATCTGTGAGCGCTAGTGGGTTGTTCCTGGGTGGTGCAAATGATTAACGAATCCGGCTGCTAACAAAAAGGTTGGAGGTTTGAGTCCGCTCAGAGGTGCCTTGGAAGAAAGGCCTGTGGGGATCTACTTCTGGAAAAAAAATCAGCCACTGAAACTCTATAGAACAGTTCTACTCTGATCCACATGGGGTTTCCATGAGTCAGAGTCAACTCAGTGACAACTGGTATTGAGTTGTAGGGTCATTTGGCAATGATTTTTGTCTAAAAAAGGACAGTGCTTCTCAATCAAGGTGGCACCTCAGAATTACCTATGGGTCGGTCCAAGAATAGGTATGCCTGGCCCCACCATCAGAGGTTCCCATTAAGGCAGACTGGGGTTAGACCCGAGAATCAATATTAAAAAAAAAAAAAAAATCCAGGATTGAGAGTTACTGTCTTTCTTAAACAATTCTGCCCCTTACACCCTCTTCACCTGCTTTTGGGCAGATCTCTATCTCCAGTTTGACTGGGCCACCATTTTCACACTTCTGTGTTTCAGAAACCAGACTATCCTTACAAGAGAACATTGTTGAGGTCAATCCCTAGGAAATGATCCGAGAGGCAGTGATAGAAGCAATTTGGATAGTAGGGAGAGCACTGGATTTAGAGTCCAAAAATCTAGGTTTTAGTTCTAGCTTTCTCTCTGTTAATTGTAAAATCTTAAGCAATTCTCAACCTGCCAAGCTTGGTTTATTAACAACATCTAACAATCCTATGAGATAATTAGTGTTATAATTCTTAGTTTGCTGGTGCTGCCGTAACAAAAATACTACAAGTGGGTGACTATAAAGAACAGAAATTTAGTCTCTCACAGTGCTGGAGGCTGAAAGTCTGAATCAGGGTTTCAGCTGTTTCTGTGGGCCTTTCTCTTAGTTTCTGTGTCTGCCAGCAATCCTTGGTGTTCCTTTGCTTGTAGACAGCTCCCCACATGACATCTATCTAGTCCCCATGTGTGTCTCTGTGTCTATTCTGGTCTTTTTATGACTCAGAAGTGATTAGGTTTAGGATCCACCCTACTCTAGTATGACTCACTAACATAACAAAAAAAATCCTGTTTCCAAACAGGATCACATCCACAGGTGCAAGGGCCAGAACTTTAATACATATTTTTTAGGGCCATAATTCAATCCATAAGGAGCCCTGGTGGTGAAACAGTTAAGCTCTTGGCTGCTAGTCAAAAGGATGGTGGTTCAAACTCACCCAGCACCTCCACTGGAGAAAGACCTAGCAGTCTGCTCCAGTAAAGATTACAGCCTAGAAAACTCTATGGAGGTGTCCTAGTCTGTCACATGGGGTCACTATGAGTCTAAATCGATGGCACCTAACAATAACAACTCAATCCATAATAACCCATTTATAGATGAGAAAACAGAGGCTCAAAGAGGTTGAATATATCCCCCAAGATTGTACAACTAAGAAATGGCATCCTAAAGTCCACCTTTCAGTCAAAGATTAGACAGACCTATAAAACAAACAGTAACACACGTGAGGAAAATACTTCTTAGTTCAGTCAAGTATACAAGACCAAATGGGCAACACTTGCCCAAAAGCAAAGATAAGAAGGCAGGAAGAGACAGGAAAACTGGATGAACAGACACTAAGAACCCAGGGTGGAAAGGGAAAGGAGGAGAGTGTTGACACGTTGTGGGGATTGCAATAAATGTCACAAAACAATTTGTGCATAAAATTTTTGAATGAAAAACTGATTTGTGCTATAAACTTTCACCTAAAACACAATAAAATTTAAAAAAGAAAAAAGAAAGAAATGGCAGAGCTGGGACTAAAATCCAAGGTTGTCCAAAGTCCATCTGTGACCTATACCTCCATTATTCAATACAGTCAATAAAATGGGGGGAATAATGGCATCTAACTCCCCTTGTGGAAACTCTGGTGGCGTAAGGGTTAAGAGCTATGGCTGCTAACCAAAGGTCGGCAGTTTGAATTCACCAGGTGCTCCTTGGAAGCTCTATGGTGCAGTTCTACTCTGTCCTATAGGGTCGCTATGAGTCAGAATTGACTTAACGGAAACAGGTTTGGTTTGTTTTTGTTTTTTTAACTCCCCTTGTATTTTGGGAGACAGCCAATTGGTCTAATGAGTGTGACTGTGCTTAATTAATAGTAAAGCATTAGACAGATGCTTTCCATTCCTTTTCACAAAAGTTCTCCGGTCTCCAGTTCGGAATTCTTACCCCTTAGCATTTATTTTTTTCATTATCTGAGAAAATGGTAGGCCAGGGTTTGGAAGAATGGAACAATTCATTTGACCCTTACGTATGTATGTCGGGGATGTATATGGGTGGGGAGAGGTAGGTAATAGATAAGGCAAGAGTCAGAAAAAGGCCTGGAGTTTGGAATGATATCTGCGGGAGACAGTGATAGGTTACACTTGGTGATAGGATTGTTGTGTATCTTTGACTTGTTTCCAATTCCTAGTGGCCCTATAGGATAGAGTAGGAACTACCCCATAGGTTTTCCTAGACTGAAATCTCTATGGGAGCAGATAACCAGGTCTTTTATCCTGCGGAGTGGCTGGTGGGTTAGAACAGCCAACCTCTCGGTTAGCAGCCGAGTGCTTAACCATTGTGCCACCAGGGCTTACTTGGTAATAGGACTAGGAGATGAGAAGTCTTAAAGCACAGGAAGCCACATACCAGGCCACTGGAACTGAGGCAGTGAATAAAATGGATGGAATTTCTGGTTCTGGAATCAAAAAAGCCAGTTTCAATCTCAGCTCTTCACTTAACCAGCTGTGAACTTTGGAAAGTTACTTAACATCTCTGAGCTTTAGCTTCCTCATCTGTGGTGTGATAAAGAAAAAGAATACTACCTACCTCAGGGTTGCTGTGAAGGGTAATTAAGACAGTGGACATAAAGCACTTAGTATGATGCCTGACACATCATAAAACCAAAAAACCAAACCTGTTGCCATCAAGTCAATTCCCACTCAAAGAGATCTATAGGACAGAGTAGAACTGCCCCATAGGGTTTCCAGGGAGCACCTGGTGGATTTGAACTGCCAACCTTTGGTTAGCAGCAATAGCTCTTAACCACTGTACCACCAGGGCTTAATAAATAGAAGTTATCATTGCTGACTAGCCGAAGGTTAGTCCAGAATCTGAACGTCTCAGGGTATGAAGGAACAGGGAGAGAGCTAGCTTTTCCAGATGCATTCTTATGAGTTAAACGCTGGGGAGGGTGTCATCCATCTCTTCGTTTACCAGATGAAGAAACTGTGGATCAGTGATTGGTTCCAAGTTTCACAGCTGGCGAGTGATGCATTGGGGTTATAACCTGGTCTTTTGACCCCTTTAATCTAAGAAAATTCCAGTGGATGTAGTAGGGTCAAAACAGGAAACAAAGTTTTCAAAATCTACTGATCATCATGTTTCTAAATCAACATTCCAAAGTGTTCTCTATGAATATTGGTTCTGTGGGGTGTTAATAAAATCAGTCAATCAATTGAAAAATCAGTAAACCATTTTATGTTTTTGTTGGGAAAAGCTGAGTTAGACAAAGAGTAAAAGATTCTCTACTGTACAACTTGTTAGTCCTTAATACTCTCCAAGTGAAGGATACAGTATACAGATTTTCCCAAAATTATTACCAGGGAACAATTTGGTGGGAGTGAGGGGTTATTTCTCAGGGAATAATTTTTTCAGAGTAACCACACCTTAAAAAATGTACTTATAAACTCTGCTGAGCTATTGAATCAATGCCCCTTACCTGGGGTTGTTGTCACGCTCACAGGCCCCTGAAGCAGAAGAGCTGGTGAGAGGCTCCTCATTTGACTCACATTTTCCCTGTTATCTGACCTATTTCGATGGCTTCCATTACTCTGTGCCGAAGATGCACAAGTCTACATGTACAGCCCAGATGTCTCATTCGAGCTTCATGTGCATCTACTTAGATGCCTACTTTGATGTTTCTGAGGCACCTCAAATCCAGTATCCAAAATTCAGTTTAGTGAACTCGGTTGGCATCCTTACACTCAAGACGTTGTTTACCATCTCAGGGAAAATGCTGACTCCGAGTTGCCCATATCAGAAATCAGTCATCCCCTTAGGCTACTTTCTCTTCCAACCACCACACACTATGAACCACCAAGTTCTAAAAATTATGCCTTTGCCTAAGTATTTTTCAAATCAGACTACTTCTCTCCAACCTCACATCCATTACGCTAATCATTATCTCTCACCTGGATTACTGAATCCCGACCTCCCTCAAGACCAGCTTGAAAGTTTCTGCACTCTGCCCCCAAGAGGAGAGCCTTCTAAAATGCAAATTTAATTATGGCACTCCCTAGTTTTAAACTCTTCAATGACTTCCCATAGGATTTAAGCAATTGCTTAATAGGTTTACACTCTCAGCTGGCCACTCCTTTCCCACCTCTACCCCATGATCCCACCACGCTGAACACTGAATTCCTTTGAATTGCTTGAACAAATCAATCTCTCTCTCCTTCACTCTCTTTCTTGCTTGCTCCACTGCTCTCTGGAATATCCCCTCTACTTTTCACGTGACTAATTCCTACTCATTCTCTACATCTCAGTTTCCTCCAAGAAGCCCTTCAAACAGAACTAGGACTCCCACTATATGATCCCATTGCTAACATACACTGCCATCATTCATTATCTTTGTAATTGTCTGTCTTCCTCACTAGACTAAAATCTCTGCAGGTTCTGTGTTGCTCTCTTTAGTAATCTGTGTTGATCTTGCTCCTGCATATTTTTAGTGCCTGGCTCTGTGCCTAGCACATA